CGGGGGCTGAATTTGAAATCTTTGAGCTCTACTTGGACTGGAAACATAATCCCAAAATTTCAGCTTCCTAGCTTTCCTGGTTCTCGAGTTAGCGATTTTCCCGCCAAAACTTTGAGGCGCTCGTACGCGGTGCCTGGACGTGCCTGAGGGTTGGTACCAGGTCCTTGGGTGGCACTTGGCCGGCGAACCCACTCGCAAAATTTTGGCGCCGGAGCTTGCTTGGGTGCCGAGTTGAAATACCCGGACACACACACACACACACACACATACACACACACACCGGGGTCGTCGCAATATGCGTTTTCGCATTTGCATATTATGCAAAAACGCATAAAAACTTTAGCGGGGTCTTACGTGGACACCACGCGGGGAAGACCGCCCATTTTGGGGTAGGGGCCCGTACGTGCATGTAGATTAAGTCCCCAAAGTTTCAGCCCCGTAGCTTTTGCCGGTCTCGAAATGAAATGTTGGTACAGACGCGCAGCGCACACACAGACACACACAGACAACCTCTCGTCAATATGCGTTTTCCGCATCGCATTGCTGCAAAAAACGCATAAAAACTTGCGGGGGTACTGTGCAAAAAACGCATCTTCGCACCGGCGGTGCACTGGAGAATTATTCATTTTGTAAAATGAAGTTTTGCCCTCTTGATTCGACTGGGATTGCAACACTGATGTTGTGTACGTACACAGTCCTCTTTTGCAAAGTGTTCTGGATCGAAGGGATTCGAATCTGTCGTCGTCACATTCGAATACGACTTGCTAACAACTGCATCGCCTGCCTTTACGCTCTAGGACCAACCTGGAAGCACTTCGTGTGTGTCTTCTTAGGCAGCATGCATGTGCCTTTGTGGCAGATTTTTTCTCGATGGCTTTTCACGTGTTTTCCTTGCAAGTGGTGAAAAAGAGAAAAAATTTATTGGCGCTGCCGGTACCCATGTAGCTTGACCTTAAAAACACAATTATTCCCACTGCACGCTCAGTGCGAACTGTGATTTTGTCTTGCCAAGCATTCGTCCAATAAAAGAGCCGCATCATTCAGTACCAATCAGCACGAGTATCTTAAATGTCACTAGTTCCAGAAAACTAGAGCAAAGACCAAAGCACAGAATTGTGTAAATAACAAGTTTCAGTGGGCAGTATTTTGAAAGCTTTTGTGGCTTCTTGTCTACTCTTTAACTGATCTTTTCATGTGTCCTGAACTGAGTGGATGTCCAAGTAATCAGATGGCAAATTCAGTACCACTCAGCATGGATGCTCGATAAATTTCAGACAATTGCTGGAAATATCGTAACGGCAACACCACTGAGTGATTTAAATCCGATATGGATGGCATCCGGAGCATCGGTTCTTGTTAATTCAGAGACTCGTGGTGAACGTTGCGTTTCCATAGACGATAAATTTTTCATCAGCTACAGGAAAACTGTTATTTGTCCTGATGAAGTAATCTGTGGTATATGGATTCCATTCACTAAAAAGGTAATTACGATTCTTTACCAATTTATTTGAAAGGATAATTCGGGAAGAGACTGACTGTGGTACTGTTTACAGGATGAGCAGTTTATGGCTTATAAACAGTCACAGAGGCGGGAGGATGACATAACAATTGTGAGTGGTGCTTTTGCTGCTCGCATCGATGCCGTAAATCGTAAAATCTCGGATATTCGAATGGCTTTCAGTGGAGTGGCGCCGCTCACTAAAATGGCAACTCAAACGCAGCAAAAACTGAGTGGGAGGTATCACCAATCAGCGATCCCAAAAATTGCATTTTTATTACATTTTATCAACCTGTAATGGTAGACAAGCTTGTCTAGAAGTTATGATACTTGCAGAATCTGGAACAAAGAATTACTGCATGATGCTCGTGTGGAATTGAGGGAAGAGTTCCAGCTAGCAGCAGGTGTACCAGGAGGCATGGAACGCTATCGGCAGGCGCTTGTCCTTTCTCTTTTCACTAAATTCTTCATTCACATCTCACAAAAATTGCAGGTCATTTCAAAATGATTCATTGGTCACAAGCGATCGCTTTTCGGCCTCCGACTTTATTTCTCTATTTAGCATAATTGTCTTAAAAACTTGCGAGGAAATAAAACCGCTAAGAATTTCATTTCCCTGGCCTGTGGAGTTTGATCGCTGGTTAAATTTACAGCCGTCAATGAAGAATGAAGGCATTTTGACTTGCACTGGCGATGCAGGAGAAGAGCTTCGTGCAACGCAAATCCATCAGGTAAACTGCATGTCCTGATTTGGAATCCATGCCACACTCCTCTCATTTATCTTTGCCATTTATCAGTTTAGGCTGTGCCGTATGCTCAAGCAGTCGCTGATCCAGTTGGAAGACCGGTGATGCACCAGTCAGGCGTGAAACATACGACTGGAGAAGCTGCATACTGTGATGACTACTGCCCAAAAGGTTTACTTTTCAGTATCCCATGGAAAACCGGATGTTTACACGCTGATCCACAGTCATCGCTTAAAATAGGTGCACACTAGGCCTGTGAATCATTATTAAGCGTTTTGTGTTGCAACAGTTGAACAAAACGCATATGGTCGCGACTCTGTCTGTGTGTGTTTGAGTATGTGTGCGTCTGTATATCTGTGTGTGTTCCGACTGAATTTTATCCGAGAGTTTCAACTCGGAAATTAGAGAAGCTAGGAAGCTGAAAATTTAGGGCTATGTCCCCTGCTCACGTGCAATCACGTAAGTTTAATTTCAGCCTTTTCCTGCGTTTGGGTACCAAGTGCGACCTGGTGAAAGTTTTGGCGAGGGAAATAATTATCTCGGGAATCACGAAGGCTAAGAAGCTGAATTTTTGCGGTAGTGTCCCCTGCCCACATATGCCTTCGTAAATTTAAATCCAGCTTTCCCACGCGCCCAGGCATCACGTACAGCCCCATAAAATCTTCGGTAACGAAAATTATTATCTCGGGAACCAAGAAGGCTGGAAAGCTGAAATTTTAGGATAATGTCTCCATCCCCCATTCCCGTCCCTAAGTAAGATTTCGTAAATTTAAACTCAGCTTTTACGTACTCTTGAGCAACACGCAAGGGACCATGAAAGTTTAGGCGGTGAAAATTATTATCTTGGGAGCCACGAAAGCTAGGAAGCTGACATTTTGCGGTAATTTCCCCTGCCCAAGTGGGACTCAGCAAAGTCAAATTCAGCCTTCTCCTACATCTGAGTAGCAAGCATGACCCCGCGAAAGCTTTAGCGGGAAAAATTATTATCGCGGGAGCCACGAAAGCTAGGAGGCTGAAATTCTACAGCAGTATACTCTGCTCGCGTACAACCCCTAAATGCAAATTCAGCTTTGATTTACGCCTGGGTTTCAGTGTTCTTGTGGAAGTTTTGGCGGGGAAAGTTATTGTCCCCAGGAGCTAGAAGAGCTGGGAGGCTGAAAATTTCAGGGGGTTTTTTTTCTGCCTATGCAGGGGCGTCACAAACTCAAATTTGGTTCCCAAGCATGCCGTGCTCTCACAAACGACCACGTGAAAGTTTTGGCGTGAAAGTCACTCGAAAGCTAGAAAATTAGGAAGTTAAAATTTTGGAAAGATGTACACCGCTCAAAGTTTCACGTGCACTTATATTTCATGTACTAGCACATGAAATTATTAGTGGGAAGTTTTGCAACTTAGAAAAAAGACAACATGTCAGCTATTCCACAGATTAAAGTGCAAAGCAGTAAAAATCTTTAGAAAGTTCGCTGGACGCTGCACAAAGCGCATGACCGCAACTACCCTCGCAAGCACTGCTACTTACTGTGCTTTTTTGCCTATATGCGAATTGCAAAAGCGCATATTGCGACGACTTCGTCTGTGTTTATGTTTGTGTGTGTGTGTGTGTGTTCGTCTGTCTGGGTATTTCAACTCGGCAACCAAGCAAGCCCCGACACCAAAATTTTGCTGATGAGTTTCCCGGCCAAATACCACGACAGGACCGAGGCATCAACCCTCATGCAAGTTTGGACTCCGCGTTCGAGAGCACAGATGGAAGTTCTAGCGATAAAATTGCTAACTTGGAAACGAGAAAAGATAGAAAGCTGAAATTTTGAGGTTATTTTTCTCGATCACATATAACTCAAAGGTTTCAAATTCAGCCCCAGGCATGTGTGGTTCCCGCGTACGGCCCTATGAGGGCTCCTGGCGCGAAAACCGCTAACTTGGGAACCAGGGAAGCGAGGAGGCAGAAATTTTAAGGGAATGTTCCCTGCTCATGTACAACTTAAATTTACCAAATTCAGCCCCCAGGCATGCGTGGTTCGCAAGTACAACCCGGTGGATCTTTTTGGCTGGAAAATGACTAATTCAAAAACCAAGAAAGCTAGGCGGTCAAAATTTTAAGGGGATGTGCACAACTTAAAGTTATAAAATTCAGCCACCAGACATGCATGGTTCTAACGCTCGGGTCCGTAAAAATTTTTGGCAGGAAGGAGAGCTAACTCGGGGAAGAGGAAAGCTGGGAGGCTGAAATTTCTCACGTACGGCCCCCTGAAATTTTTTGACGGGAAAGTTTCTGACTGAACAACTGGGTCATTTTCAAACCCAGGCTGGAACGCACCGGGCGGGCCCGTGCGATCATGCATTTTTGCACCGGACTTGAAGTAACCAGGTCATTAACTGTATGAATGGCTGTTGCTTTACACCTGCATTTTGCGGTCACTAGCATAAATCATCATAAATTTTGCATATAGTAAATGTACAATTTCCATTTAACGTTCGATCTTTAAAAGTAACTAGCTGTTCAGTGAGAAATTTTTCCGCCAAGACTTTCAAGTGTCTGTTCATAAGAACCATGCATACCTCAAAGCTGAATTTGAAATACTTAATTTGTACCTGGACAGAAAACATTCCCCAAAATTTCAGTTTTTCAGCTTTTCTGGTTACCGAGTCAGCAATTTTTTCGTCAAAACCTTCACATGCTAGTACGTGGATACTCCACGTGCCCGGAAAGCTTAATTTGAAATTTACAAATTGCAGTTGGGCGGGGGACATCCCCCTAAAAATTCAGCCCTCCAGCTCTTCTGGTTACCGAGTCAGTAATTTCCCTACAGAAATTTTCATACGCCTTTGCGTGAGTACCACGCATAGATTATGGCTGAGTTTGAAATTTTTGATATGTGCTTGGACAGCGAACATACTTCCAAAATTTCAGCTTTCTAGCTTCCCTCTTACCCGAGTTAGCAATTTTCCCCCCTAAAACTTTCATAAGCCTTTACATGAGCACCACGCATAGGTTGGGGCTGAATTTGAAATATTTGAATTCTACTTGGATAGGGAACATTTTCCCAAAATTTCAGCTTTCTAGCTTTCCTCGTACCCGAGTTATCAATTTTCCCCCTAGAAATTTCGTAAGCCCTTACGTGAGTACAACGCATACCTGGGAGCTGGATTTGAAATCTTTAGCTAGTTCATGCATAGGGAATATCCCTACAGAGTTTCAGCCCCTTAGCTCATGTGGTTCCCGAGATCGCCTTCCCGTCAAAAAATTTGCGTATTTTTTAAAGCGTCCGTACGTGCCACCTAAGCGCCTGCGGGGGATGAGATTAAAACGGGAGGGTCGCGCATGGTATGGGCACATATCCCCAAAGTTTTAGCTTTCTAGCTTTTC